CCATCCCTCCCTCCCTGGGTAAATACCCAAGCAAGACTGCATCACTGGCTTCCAGAATCTCAAATAGCAGTCTGGTCATGTAATATAAAGTATGGTTAGTTACACTACTCCAAAACGCCTCCATCTGTGCAAGTTCCATTCTTTGCATCTAGGAGAGATATTTTTAAATCATTTAACTCATTTATAACATGATGCAAACCCCACAATCTCGGATGTTTTATGTTCCTTTACGTTAATTCAGCCTAGAGGCCAAGATGAATTCAGTGGAAATGTACCATACTTCCATTCAATTTACAGGATTTCATCTATTACCTTCAGCAACAGGAAGGAGAGAAAAAGAAGTGATTCACATAGAGCCAGAGACTCTGCATACCTCCACTCAATAACTTCGTGCTTCATAGTGAGCACAGAATAGGAGACGGTCAGCTGCTGTTCTATGTCTCAGTTCTCACATGCCTCACACCCAAGCAATTCATGTCACCTGTGCTCAAAATAACAAACGCCATGCAGTTCCAACATGGAAAAACAAGATCTGGCTGTACTGGGCTTCCTGAGAGACCCAACACTTGTCAGTTTCTGATATGACTCCCTCTTGGAGTACTTTGAGGGTACTCAATTTTCACCTTACTCATGGCCTTTAGATACAGACCTTATTTAGAGCAACGTTACTATATACTGGGATGAGCTGCTTTACTTGACCCTGGAATTTCTTTCCAAGAAGGCACATTTAGGTAATTGTAGCTCACAATGCCAGAACTGCCACAATGAAAAAGCCCAAACTCTGTTTCTCTTTCTGTTCTGTTGGTGAACGTCTAAATGACGAGAGTGATCATAAGTACATACAGATTTTAAAATGTTAAAAAGAAAAGGGAAGGAACAGTGCCTAAGACCTTCCTGTATACAGTGCTAAGTTACTGCTATGAATTGTCAGACGCAATCTGGATACAGTGTTAAGTTACTGCTATGAATTGTCAGATGCAATCAGCTCCAGTCTAGAAAAGAAAAATCTAATCCCCTATCACAATACACAAAACAGTAACATGAACTAAGTCTACAAATATATAATGTAGAAATTCTAACTTTATCGATCAGTTTTATATCAATATGTGTATGAAGTAATAAGTGAAATGAATAACAGAGAAAAATGATCACTTCCAGCTTCTATAATATTGTCTCCACTATCATGAGAATCTCTTTCCAGACCCACTTCAACCCCAAAGAACTCCTTATAAAAGGCATAAGGGCCTTGTGTAGGCTGAAATATATTCCCTTTTCTTCTTTACGTAACTAATGCAGGTAAATTCTTATAAGTTAAATGCGCAAAAGATAGGATTCCACTTAGGTAAAGGCTGAGTGGATGATGGCCTTCTTTATTAACTTGCAATTAACTGTCATCTCAATTTCTCTTGGTTAGGTACCAAGAAGGATGTAGTGTCACAAGAGATTTATTCTTTTTTTTTTTTTTTAAGAGCAAGAAGTAACTGGAAGCATCTTGCTGAATTGCAACGGAAAAAAAAAAGATAAAACACCCCAGCACCTCTGCCATCTTTCCTGGAGGGCAACTGCTTCTCCTCCATTCCAGCCATATGATTTTGGTAGTGCTGCCAATCAAGTACCCTATCTGCCTAGCTACGGGAGCAGAACAGTAGGTACATCACATTCTTGTGTCCTATCTGGCCAATCAAGGTCCTTCTGGAATTTCTCTTTATTCTGGGGTGCTTAACCTTGGATGGCATAACACAGGAGTTGTCTGCAGTCACATCTTTTATGCACTTATATACAGTCATGTGCCCCAAAAAGACATTTTGGGTCAATGACAGACCACATATGCAACCATGGTCCCCTAAGATTACACATAATGGAGCTGAAAAATTCCTGTAGCCCAGTGATGTCATAGCTGTTGTAATGCAATACATTACTCATGTGTCTGTGGTGATGCTGGTGTAAACAAACCTACTGCACTGCCAGTAGTATAAAAGCTAAGCACATAAATTACGTACAGTACATAATACTTGACAATAAACTATATACCAGTTTATGTATTTGCTATCCTATACTTTTTATCATTACAGTGTACTCATCCACTTATTAAAAAATTAAAAAGTTAGCTGTAAAACAGTTTTAGGCAGGTCCTTCAGGAGGTATTCCAGAAGGCACTGTTATCATAAGACAGTTCCCTATGTGTTACTGCCTCTGAAGACATTCCAGTGGGACCTTCCTGACTCTGTGCAGGCCTAGGGTAATGTGTTTGTGTCTTAGTTTTTAAAGATTAAAAAATTTTAAAATAGAAAAAAGCTAACAGAATAAAGATATAAAGAAAATATATTTGCACAGCTAATTGTACCATGTGTTTGTATTTTAAGCTAAGTTTTATCACAAAGAAGTTAAAAACTTTTTTAAAAGTTTATAACATAAAAGTTACATTACAGTAAGCTAAGGTTAATTTATTATTGGAGAAATAAAAAAAATTTTCATAAATTTAGTGTGGCCTAAGTGTACAGTGTTCAAAACGTCTACAGTAGTGTACAGTAATGTCCTAGGCCTTCACATTCACTCACCACTCACTCACTGCCTCACCCACAGCAACTTCCAGTCCTGCAAACTCCCTTCATGGTAAGTGCCCCATACAGGTGCACTTACCTTTTAATCTTTTAAACTGTATTTTTACTGTACCTTTTCTATGTTTAGATATACAAATACTTGGCCATTGTGTTACAACCACCTAGAGTATTCTGAACAGTAACATGCTGTGCTGGTTTACAGTCTAGGAGCAATAGGCCATCCCACATACTCAGGGTGTGTGGTAGGCTATACCATCTCAGTTTGTATAAGCACACTATGATGCTTGCACAATGACAAAATTTGCCTAACTATGCATTTCTCAGAATGTATCCCCTAATTGTCCCATGATTGTAACAAGACAGAAGGAGGCTTGCAATTACAGTTGCAGAGGAAATAGGGAACTGAGGGTTACTGGTCCTTTGCAGAAAGGGAGAGACACGCAAGTACTCCATCACTGGAGTCACTGGATTTAGTGATACCCCAGCCCCTTCCAGGTTTGGAGCCAATAAATCCCTTTTAGCTTAGCCCATTTGAATTTTCTGTCGCTTGCAACAGAAATATCTTTGACTAAAAAAAGTGTAATTACTATTAGAGTAAACCTAAGAAATTCATAATAACAGTGAAAAATCCAACGCAAAGCTGTAGTTCCTTGCTAATACACAGAACACGTTTAATAATGTCATACAGCGTGAAGATAAGTCAAATATTCATTCAAGATTCAGTTAAGAATACAACAGTTTGATTTTACCACTATGTACAGATGGCACCTAAAGTTGTGGATCAAGAGAACATACCATCTAAACTCTATAAAAGCTATCAATAGATCCAAAGTTAAACATACTTTATTAAGTTCAAAAGATCTTACTTCTCATTCACATACATAACTGACATTTTGTGTCACACTGGTTGAAATGTCAATGGAAGAGTGAGATACAGCTAAGAATCACCAACATGTCCCAATATTCTGGAAGACAGAAAACATCTATCTGCTGACAATGGTCCAGATACGAAGGAAATACATTAAATATAAGGAAAAAATCAACATATTACTCTGTAAGAGCTCTGGAAAGAATTTTCTCACATATGCCTCTTTGACCATATAAAGCCCAACAGTTCAACGAATTTTTTTTTTCCATTTATCTTTATTGCATATTCTACAGAACAGGCCAGCTATTGCCAGAGGATTCAATACCTACTCTGTGCTTGAATTTAACCATGAGCAAACCCATATCTTACACAAACGTGCAGATTATCCATCCACATTTATATTAGATAAACCTCAAACACACACAGGCAGACATAGACATACACAGACAACATGTAATTATCTCCCAAACGCAGACATTTGGAATAAGGTTTAGCACCACAAGCTAACATCCATGCTTGTTTGGCTTGGGTTTTGGGTTTTTTAGTACAGGAAAATTGAGTATGGTAGAGGGTGGATGGTGCAGAGGACAGAAGTCTTCCTATTCGTTCTAACAAGAATTTAAGAAGTGGACGGGGTCTGTTTATTTAAAGAAGGCTCCCCAGCTAGCTATTCCTGATAACCCACGGCCATGGAACCTCTCACGGATCCTACCTCCTCCCACCCTATCCTGTGAAGCACTCCCATTGTGTACACCCAGACACTCTGAGCAGCTGTTTTCCTCCTTCCCCAGGTGCCACGCACGAAGAACAGGCCAAGGCACAGGAATAGCCTCGAACTTTAGAGGTCCACCTTTCATCCTGCTGCCCTCATTCTGGTGCACAACTTGCACGTGGAGACAAACTGGAACCAGCCTCACAGGGTGCGCACTGATCCTAAGAGGTGCATACCCCATCTAAGGCTCAGGCACCCTGATATCAGTCCCTGGAGGATAAAGGGGTCCACACCTGTTTTCCAGGCCCGACAGACGGGTTACACACCTGCTCCGCCTAGGCTCACAGTCGGGGAAGCGGGTGCCCCAGTCCCTCAGCCTAATTGTCGCAGGACTGTAACAGGACAGAATGAGGCTTGCAATTATAGTCGCAAAGGAGATAGGGAACTGAGGGGTTACTGGTCCTTTGTAGAAAGGGAGAGACACACAAATACATCACTGGAGTCACTGGATTTAGTGATACCCCAACCCCTTCCATGTTTGGAGCCAATAAATCCCTTTTTACTTAAGCCCATTTGAATTTTCACATTCATTTGGAACCAGTAAGTGGAAATTGCCCGACCCAGTTCCGGGCCAACGTAGGACACGCCCCTCCACTCAAGAATCAACCCCGCCCGGCCCGTGGCTCGGGTCCGGCTAGCCAGTCAGGGGCTGCTCTGTCCGCTCCCCGAGGTCGCGCCGCTGTCGCGCTGGGTGGAGGCGCCGAGGCTCAGAGACCTGTCGCGCGCTTTCCTCCTACCCTGAATACGGCCCCTCAATCCTGTCTCCTCCCCACGGGCCCGCTCTCTGGAAACTCGTTACCTGAGCTTGCAGCCATTCCGGCCCTGGACCGCTGGCCCACGTGACCGCACCCCAGCTTTAGCCTCACGCACGCGCACTACCTACCACTACTGGCCTCGCTTCCGCTTTTCTCCTCACACTGCTCCCCCTCCTGGGCGGTCCGCGCCTCTTCACCACGCCCCTATTTAAAGGGCCAGAGATATACTGGCTTCCCCCACGGAAAAAACCGGTGATTCACATCTTGAAGACCAAGAGAATGGAAACGTGGAAAGAGTAGCGCGGACGAATAAATAGCAGTCCTTGAGGTGAGAGGAGAAAGCTCCTCCTTTAAGAAAGTGAACTTACTTGCAGCCAGCCCAGAAGGGGAACTGATTCCCTGCCTTTTGGAGTTTGCGACCAGTAAATTTTTTTTAGCTCTTTTTAAGAAAAAGATGAACACAGAATTGCCAATTTATTTTGTCAAATAAGGACAACAGGCATACACATACTAAAAAACCAACTATTATCTTCTAATATATCGTCAGTATTGCTCCCCAAAATACATCTTAACACCAAAAATATAGGAGAAACATAGTGTCAAATAAAGGAAACTTCTGAAAAATAAATAAAAACATATGCTTATTTCTCTTATTGCTCCTGAAGAAAGGTGAAAGCTTTCAGAAGAGACTCGTTTCTAGAGTCATCACTGTAGGTAACATTAGCCCCAGGACACAGATTTTAGGCCTGCTGGGGGCTGTGGTCAAGCAAATAGGAGGAAGAACACCAGAAGATACTCTTGGAAGGAGATACAGAAAACATTCGGTTGGGCAGACATTTTTGAGCATCAGCCAGGTTCACTAGACTTCTGGGCCTTCAGAGAACCCAAAGATGGGTAAGACACTGCCCTGCCCTCCAGATATTTATTGTCTAAGAATTCAGTGTACAGACATAACAAAATACAAAATAGGCTGTTTTGAGTAATATAAAGAAAGACAATTGAACCACCATTTTCAGATCACAGACAAGGGGAAAAGTTGAAACACTGAAGGAAGTATGTGGTATCTTGTCGGGGCCTTGAAGGATTTCAGTAGCAGAGAGCAGGGAGAATGCCAAGCTGAGGGAAGGCTGGGATCACAAGTAGTATGAAGCAAGTTTGGGAACTAGTTACTGGCCTGATGTAGCCGTGGTGTGGGCAGTGGCTTTCAACCTTCTTTTAATCATTCCTCACAGTAAGAAATACATTTCAGGTCAGGCACGGTGACTCATGCCTGCAATCCCAGCACTTTGGGAGGCTGAGGCAGGTCGTCAGGAGTTTGAGACCAGCCTGACCAACATGGAGAAACCCTGTCTCTACTAAAAATACAAAAATTAGCCAGGCGTGGTGGCATGCACCTGTGGTTCCAGCTACTCGGGAGGCTGAGGCAGGAGAATCGCTTGAACCCAGGAGGCGGAGGTAGCAGTGAGCCAAGATTATGCCATTGTACTCCAGCCTGGGTAACAGAGAGACTCCAACTCAAAAAAAAGAAAAAAATACATTTCAGCCATGGCCTAGTATAAAAATACACACAGTATGCGTATATGTGTGAGTGTGCATGATAGGTAGGTAGGTAGGTAGGTAAAATAGATAGATAGATAGATAGATAGATAGATAGATAGATAGATAGATAGATAGACAGATAGATAGATAGATAATGTTGAGACAGTAATTGCCCTTAGAATGTAAAATGCAACTTGGTATTTTCTATTCTATTCTATTCTCTTCTTTTAAGTGCTGGTTACTGAATTCATTTCAGTACTCAGTGATGCAAAACAACCCATAGTTTGAAGACACTGGTGTAGTGTGTATTAGGGATGTGGTGGGATATGAGGCTGGAAAGGCTGGGACCAGATCCAGGAGGACATTGCACGCTAAGCTGGGGCGTTCTGCTCTTCTGGTAAGAGCCTCCAGAGGAACTTGGGCAGAGGAGTGGCAAGATGATAGCAGTGCTTAAGAAGGCTGGAAACCGGCCTTTGGTTCTGAATATCACATTTTTTTAGAAAAGTTATTAAACTGGAGACTGTCTACAGAAGGATAAGCAAGCTGGTGAGACCAGAAAGCCTGTGTGACAGAGAACTTTTGAAAGTATCCAGAGGAAAAGGAATTGGCAGAAGTAGGGGAGAGCAGGGTCACAGGGGCGAGCAGTGGAAAGGTAACTATTAGGTTGGTGCACAAGTAATTGCGGTTTTTGCCATTACTTTAAAAAACTGACCCTTTGAAATATCTCTACAACACTCATAGACTTATTCTGGATAGCTGTAGAAAGAAAGCAAGTCTAGGAGCTGTGTATGGATGTTGCAGAGAAGCAGATTTCAACTTATAATAAAGAATATTTTAGGATGGTCCAGACTGACTGTGAGAACTCTCCAAAGTAACAGCCCTTTTATGTACCTCTGTTCACAGCAGTAAATAATGTCAAATGCTATCCTTTCCAGGGCTGTTTGCCTTAATAATAAAAAGAAATTTTGTGCTTATTGTCGAAAACGTGGAAAATTCAGGAAATATTTTAAAGCAGAAATTACTCACATCCCAGAAAAAAGGCACTCATTGTTTTGGCTTATTTCTGTTGGATCTTTTTCTTTGCATATTTACATTTTTGACATAGTAGGACTGCATATTTAGTTGTGTATTCTATATATTTATAGGATATATAGTTAATAGTCCATCCTCTTTTTTTTCATCTTGAGCACTATCCACCATCACTAAAATTGTTCACAAATATTATTTGTCATGGCTACATAATTATTAATGATATAGTTTCATGTATTCCATTATTCCACTATTTTTGGACATATAGGAGTTCCTATTTTTTACTGCTAACAAGAACATTGCCATGAATATCCTTATACATAAATCTTTGACCGCATTTTTAAATTATTTCCTTCGTTAGGCTACCAACCTGTAAGTGGAATTCAAAGGCTTTGAAAACTCTTAAGTCTGTGAATACCCGTGGTCAAACTGCCTTCCAGAAATGTCGGGCCAGTTTTCATTCTCACCAGAAGTGCTCAAGGGTGCTCATCGCACATACCCCCACTGGCATTTATTTGTTCTTTAAAAAAAAAAAAAAAGATTTGCCAATATGATAGATGAAACGGTCTCTCATTTTAACCTGTATGGAATTACTATTGGAGTGGAATATCTATATAAATTTCTCAGCCCTTTATAGTTATTCTGGGAATGCAGTTTCACTGCTGGATTTCTGATTGGCAAATAGTACTGAGTGAATTGTTACAGACTTGTGAGAAAAAAAAAACGGAGAAGGATTTTTAAAACAAATGATGTGGTGACACCAAGTTATAGGCAAGTTATATTGTGGTGCGCTGCACTAACAAAGGTTAGTGGGAGAATTGAGTCATCACACAGTATTACAGTATTCATGTGAATATTGGCTTCAGCAAAATATCATTCCTTATATTAAATCAAAATTGTAGATATGAATTTCTTCATTTAGTAGTTTTGTTTGTATTCAATTTATTTTTTTAGTTTTATAGATGCATAAAATCTATAAAAATCAGGAGCCCTTAGTTTTGTGTTTGCATATATACATACACATATATGTATGCAACATTATAAAAAATATATAAGCTAACTCTAGATATCTGTGAGAATCTTTTCCCCTTACAAAGGATCTGAACAATATCCAAGTTTGAGAAACAGTGATACTGGAATTTCTTAAAGTTTCACTTGTACTTATCTAAACATAGGTATTGAGATTTTTTTGAAAGGTAAAATTTGTTTCAGCATATTATATATTGAAATTTTTCTATATAGAATAGTGTAATGATTTTCCTCTTTTTGGAAAGAGTACCAAAAGCTCTACTATGTTTGGGGTTCAGAAAATATGTTTTGACTTAAAATGTACCATTCATCAGTTAACTTTCTACAGGTCAGTAAGACCTAGACAGAAGAATGTTTGCATTTACTAAACCTGTAAGTAAGACAAAGCAGTTGAGCAGATAGTGATTACAATGGAGCTTTTGCGAAGTGGTCTTAAGAGAAATTAAGCCAATGAGAAAAAAAGTTGCATGTGAGCTCTCAGAGCCTTGGGAAGCAGTGAGGGCTGGACTGCGGGGTGCACAGGAGCTAGAAGGGGGGCGCCACTGAGGGCTGCCACAGTTGGATGGTGTCCTTACACCAGCTCTATTCCCTCCAGCTTTCCCCGAGAGAGAAGGATGCAGACCTCAACCCAGACATCACTATTACCCCTGCATCTAGAATAAGCCACATCTCTCCTGAAGAAAAAAAAAAAAATGTCTGTACCTGAGAACAAAAGGCAGAGAATAGGAGATGGACCCCTTTGTCATTTCTCTTTTTGCTCACAATCACAAAATAAACTGACCTCTTTTCCTTTTTTAAAAAGGGAGCTTGTTGGAGCACAGACAATTTTCAGGGCAGTGAAATGATTCTGTATGATGCTATAATAGTGGAAACATCATAAATTTGTCCAAAGCCACAAAATGTGCAACACTGAGAATTAACCCTCAGGTAAACTCTAGATGTGGGTGATAATGATGTAATGATGAGTCAGTGCAGGTCCATCAGCTGTAACTAATGTAGCACTCTGGTAGGGGAGACCATGTATGCGTGGGGCAGGCAGTGTATGAGAAGTCTCTGTACCTTCCTCTCAATTTTGCTGTGAACCTAAAATTACTCTAAAGAATCAAGCTTATTTAAATAATTTGGCCGGGTGAGGTGGCTCACACCTGTAATCCCAGCACTTTGGGAGGCCAAGGCGGACGGATCACCTGAGGTCTGGAGTTCGAGACCAGCCTGGCCAACATGGCAAAACCATGTCTCTACTAAAAATACAAAAATTAGCCGGGCATAGTGGCAGGCACCTGTAATCCCAGCTGCTCAGAAGACTGAGGCAAGAGAATCGCTTGAACCCGGGAGGCAGAGGTTGAAGTGAGCTAAGATCGTGCTACTGCACTCCAGCCTGAGACTCTATCTCAAAAAATAATAAATAATAATGAAAATAATGATAATTTAAAAAGCCAAAACCAAAACCTGGTGTACAGGGTTTTTAATCTAAAAATCAGGAGTCTTTGCATATATACATATGCAAACTTCATTGAGTCAAAATGTCCA